CAACGCCACGCCACTCATCATCGATAGGGGAGAGAACAAGACATCACACAAACCCCTCCATCTCAAGGAAGTGTGTCAGGCCGGCAGGAATATGATCCAGATTACGGTCACCGCCTGTTGTTGTGTATGTATCAGCGCTATTGTCACCACCAATTTGACCGCCAATAAGCTAATCCCTGTCTTGTCTTTGTAGTCGCATCTGTTTCTGTTACAACTGGTCCACAGACCGACCGTACGGTCGGTACTCCAGGGCCTACTCCGCAAACGGCTGCTACCGCTCGCCCACTGCGCCGACAAAATCAGGCGAAACTTCGCCAACGGCTCACTCCCGCCGACACTTCCCAATCAAAGTAATCATCAGTCGAGCGGCGGTGAGGACGGCGTGGAACAGACGGCCATCAAAGTGTCTCTCAAGTGCCCCATCACTTTCAAGAGGATCACACTACCGGCCAGAGGGCCCGACTGCAAACACGTACAGGTAGGTCACAAATCCCACCGAGATTTTCATATAACACTTTGCTCTCAATTATTGGAAAATATTAATTTCAATATTAATTATTATATTTAATTCAATTCAATATGAATTAATAATTGTGTTTCAAAACTACCAGTGCTTTGATTTGGAGTCATATTTGCAACTAAACTCGGAGCGCGGCTCCTGGCGCTGTCCCGTATGCAACAAAGGAGCCGTACTCGACGGCCTGGAAGTGGACCAATACATCTGGAGTATACTCACCACACAGGGAACCGCCGACTTCGAAGAGGTGACCATCGATTCGTCCGCCTCTTGGAAACCATTTCACGGAAAGACATTCAAAGAGGAACACGACGGCGGAAGTGAGTGTCCAAAACCACGCGTCAACCGCAACAACCATTGTATATATCATTTAATTAATGCTCGATAATTATCTCCACAGTAGATCCGTGTCTGGTGTCCAAACGATTCAAAGCCATGTCTCCCAATAGCATGAGTTTGCCGACGTCCAGCTCCTGGGAATTGGGACAGGGATTGTCGCCATACAATCCCCTGCCGACGCCCGACATGCAATGTAAGCGTCAATATTCTCTATTGATTGCCAATTATGGTCTCCCACTCTATTCCAGTGCACAGAATATTCTGTGCATTAGTTGAAAAAAACTATTAAAAATTATTCATAACATAATTCTATGTATTTATTGAAGTACTCATCTATTTCTATGTTTATATCCGACAGCCATAAGCAACGGCCCGGTATCTAACGGACCAATAATGAACGGCTACGGCGGTGGCGGCGGTCCAGTAAGTGGACCGGTCGGCGGTGTCGGACCCCACAATCCCAACACAGGTTTAGTGAACGGTTTTGACTTCCAGTCGTCGGCTTCAGACTTCACGCCACTCTCACACGACGGAAGCGAATCCATGTTAGACCCGATCGCCGCTATGGAGAAGTCGCTGAGCCATCACGAGCAGCACATGGGTCCGCCCGCGTTCGGCTCAGACACCACCGGCGGTGTGTCCGTCAACGCCATTCGCCAACAACAGCAACAACAACAACAACATCAGCAACAGATGCAACAGTCGTCGCACAACAGCCCCCACAACGGCGGCGGACCGACGACACCCGGACAGCACCCGTTATCGGGCCATCCGGGCGGTGGCGGCCCCGCACAGGGACCCCCTCTCACATCGGTGCACAACTCGCACTCCAACAACAACGGCAACGGTAGTCACGGACCCCACACACCGAACACCCCTTCGTCGTCGTCGATGGTGGGCGGAGGAGGCGGTGGCGGTCACAACGGGCCGCACACTCCACACACACCGCATACACCGCATACGCCGCACACCCCTAACGGCGCCGGACACGTGGGCCCGCCCTCTGTCACGACGTCCACCGGTCCGGCCAGCGTTGAAGCCGTCGGTCACAACCAATCAAACAACTCGTCTCTGTCGCACACCAATGACTCGTTGGGTGATCTCAACTTTGATCCCGCGGCCATCATCGATGGTGAGGGGCCCGGACAGGAGGTCCTCAATGTAAGTGCCCATTAAATGTCTTGAAAATTCATACATAAGAATATTCTTTCGTCTATAAGAATATAGTTATACAGAATATTCTTGCGATTCTTGTATAGATTCTGTGATGTAATTGTGTATTGTTTTGTGTTATAGTTGTTGCCGGAGAACGGTGTGGACGCCATGGAGTTGTTATCCTATTTAGACACTCCGGATCAAAGCGCCGGCAACTCTTCGCTGGCCAATAGCGGTGGTGTCAACAGCTCTACACTCAGTTCCAGCTCTTCGTCGGTGAACGACGACTTGCTATCGCTGTTTGAAACGTAATCTTATCGGTCATTGCGTTTAAAAATAACATTTTTATTATTAATTATTATAATTATGAATTAATTATTAATTATTAACTCCTATTAATTATTGAAAAATATAAAATTACTAATAATTGATATAAACTATTATAAGAAGACTAATCATAAATTATTGTACAAAACGGAAACAAAACGATAATTAATTGTTATGTTGTTATGCATTGACTTATTTGCGCTAAACATTATATAAATACACGAAATACCCCACAAAATGATGATAACTAAACAATATTTGCTTCACATTTAAGTTAATTTGTGCGATAAAACACACAAAAACCTATTGATAAATATAGTATATATTGTGTATAAATCTATATCGACGATGAAAATGATTGAAAACGATAAGCAGCTATACATACGATTTGTATGGGGAATGGGATGCGAGACAATGTACTGAATCACAATTGGGATGCATATAAGAGTTATAGCAAAACCATGTTTTAACTATACATACATACGGATAGCGTACGGATGCAAACGGTTTATGTGTTTAGAGACACCGAGTGTTAGAAGTTATTGCAAAAAGATAGACACCATAACAATAGGAGTCACAAAAATCAATGCCATTTCCTAATGATTACTAGTGTTTACTGTAGTTATCGATAGCGAAGGCAAAGAGAAGAGTGAGAGAGAAGAATATATACACATATAAGAGATGACAAAACCATCTCAAAAGAAAATGATAACTACTTTTAATGTTAAAACCAATCGTCTCTATACAGACAGAGAGGCAAACGCGCNATCGTACGGTCGGTCTGTGGACCAGTTGTAACAGAAACAGATGCGACTGCAAAGACAAGACACGGGGCGGTTAGCTTATTGGCGGTCAAATGGGTGGTGACAATAGCGCTGATACGTACACAACAACAGGCGGTGACCGTAATCTGGATCATATTCCTGCCGGCCTGACACACTTCCTTGAGATGGAGGGGTTTGTGTGATGTCTTGTTCTCTCCCCTATCGATGATGAGTGGCGTGGCGTTGACGGACACCTGTACACTCGCGGGCCAATTCGTGTTCATCTGTCTGTCTTCGTGGTGAAAGCATTTGAGTTGCAGCTCGAGGTCCGAGCGCCACATCAGTGTCTCGTGTACTGTGGGCTTCAGGTGGAAGACGTGGTTACTGACGGCCAGATTGTGCTCCAATCGGAACGGCGCCAAAATTATGCCGTCGCGCACCGGAAACGTCAGCCTCAGCTCTTCGTCTCCTGTAATCGGAGTTAAAATATAGCGTTAATATTCAGCCCCAGAGAGAGAGAGAGAGAGAGAGAGAGAGAGAGAGAGAGAGAGAGAGAGAGCATAGTGTGAAATAACATGAGGTTTGAATATTACTTGTTTGGAGACGGGGTTTGGTGTCGACGATGGGAAACGATGGCTTAATGTCGGCGTTGGGCGACAGGTAAGGGGTCATATTGGAGGCGGGCGTCAATGGGGGCGTAGGGTTGCCCGGAATGGGTGAGTGTTGATAGTTATTGATGGCTCTATGAAATTGGTTGGGATGAGTGTGTGGTGTAGTGTACTGTGAATTGCCATAGTTTTGATCGTATTGCGATTGCGAGGGATTGTGTGGCTGAGGGCCACCGGCAACGCCACCGATGCCGCCCACGTGATGACCGCCAACACCGGCCACCACTCCGGCGCTGTTCATCGGTCCTGAGGCGCCCGTTTGGCCGACGCCAGGGCCGCCCATTTGGCCGCCACCGCCGGCGCCGTAATACTGGTTTGAATACTGCGGTGTCTGTCCTCTCATACTGGCCTTCATTGGCTGCTGTTGTTGGACTGGATTCGGACCGTAACCGCCGGCGCCCGACATACCTCCCGGTCCGCTGCCGCCGCCCATCGACTGAACGGATTGCATAGCGGGGTTGTACTGTTGACCGGCCGCCGGGTGCTGATGGTGTGGGTGTGGATGCGGTTGCGGCTGTTGTTGCTGTTGGGGGTGTTGTTGTGGGTGCGGATGCATTGATTGTATGCCCGGCTGTTTCGTGTATTGCATTCCCTGATTATTTGTATACTATTTACACATAAATAGAGACAACAATTAATTAATTACTGAACAATATTCGCGTACTTTGAATGCAAGACTCACTTGATTTGTAGTGTAATTCACTGTGGATTGCGATACCGAACCGTACGATTGCATAACAGGTCCGGTCTGGTAGTGTTGCACCGCCTGACTGTTGGCGTACTGTCTCTTTTGTGTCATATACTGTTGCTGTTGTTGCGGTGGCGCGGAGTAGGGCCCGGGTCTGCCCGCCCCTCGCGGCCCACTTGCATACATACCGGCACCGCCTGGCGGTACGCCGGCTCCGGGCATCGGTCCGCCACCGCC